TGCGGCCAGGAGCTTCCAGCCCCAGTACGGGGCGGTGCGGGAGGTGGCGGATTACGATTCGATGACGGTGCGGGCCACGGACGGCTCGGAGACCTTATTGAAGCATGCCCTTCCGGTGCCCCGCGGGTCTGCGGAGCGCAAGGCGCGGCTCACTCGCCCCCCCCGGTGCCGCTGGCGGTGCGGCAACTCAGAGATTTCAATCCCGGGCCCGTCGCCCCGCCGTGACTTTCCGGTGCCCTCAAACCGAGAACCCTGCCGAGACAATAAGACAATGAGACAACCGATCCTGGGATTAAGGGAGAGCTACCAGGGCCAAGGAGGGGACACCCTGCTGAGACAATGAGACAATGAGAACCGATCCTGGGATTAAGGCAGAGAGCTGCTGGGGCCAATAAGGGACCCCCTACTGAGACAATGAGACAACCCATCCTGGGACTAAGGCAGAAACATGCCTGGTAGCAGGGAGGAGGGACCCTGCTGAGACAATGAGACAACCGATCAAGTGGGATCGAAGCGATTGTCTCATTGTCTCATTGTCTCAACAGGGGTTCCGGCAGAGATCCGGATTTTTTTTCCCGACCAACTGGGGATCGAAGCGATTGTCTCATTGTCTCATTGTCTCAGCGGGGCTTCTGGTTAGGAATACGGAGGAACCCTAATATAAGAGGGCTGTTGCCTGGGTTTTCTTGCTGATGATGTGGGCTTCTTTGAGGGCGGACGACGTGCAAGGCATTTTGCCTCAAAGTCTGACCTTCAATGGCATTGGATTGAGTGCCGTCTTGGGCAAGAAAAAAACTACGGGACCTGACAGACGAACGAAGGAGGTGAAGTTCTTCGTATCCAGGGAGATAAGCTTGACGGGTGTGGATTGGTTGATCATCTGTGGAAAGAATACGATAAGTCCAGAGATTACTTAGTCATGGAGGCGTCACCAGACTGGGGAAAGCCGACTGGCCGTGGAGCCGAGTGTCTTGACACTCTATCTTCGTCAGATCTTCAGAGGACTTCGGGCACCCCGCTATACTAGCAGCGGCTGGAGGTCGGACCCAAGGGGATACCTTTTCCCAAAGGGGCTGGAAACTTTTGGACTGGGCATGCGTTTAGGGATTGGCTGCCATCCCTGGCTGCAGCGCTGGGGGTCTCGAAGCCGGACCGGGACTTTCTTGGAAGGTGGGCCATCAACACGTCGGGAGGCTCCTCGGACTACGTCAGGACTTCTAGAGATGTTGTGCAGCGCGTGCAAGGGTTTGTGGCTTCGTCGTTGGTTACCGGGGAGCCAAAGCCATATCTAGAGTTTGAGGCTTTGGAAAGGGTTTCGCAAATGATGAATCTGATTGATGGTCGTGGCTCACATGTTCGGAATCTTCATGATGTTCTTTGCAAACCGACAGGGCCACATAGGCTAGGCGGCAAGTGGCCAACCTTCATACCGGAAGCAGACGAAGCGGAGCAGGCATGAGCCTGTCAGCCAGGGCCAGCATGAAGGGGACCCGTCTTGCAAGTATTTCATTACCGTTTCAAAGGGCAAGGGTTTCAGGAGGTTACATTTGAATGGCAACTGCTATGTGAAAGCGTACAAGTGCAGCAGTGTGATATACACTGACCAGGTCCGTGCGACTGTCAGTGAGCACCCGCTCTGTTCTTACTCAGTGCCGCAAAGGCGAGGGTTGTCACACCCGTCATATCAGTCTTGTCAGTTCTGCACCCCGCGCGGGCCTACAGTGACTTCGGACGGGATCCGACGACTTTTGGGCCTTTCGATTTCAGATGGTGACTGATGAGGAGAAACGGGCGGCCGTAGCTCGTGCAACTCCGATCTTCAGTATGTTCTTCAGGAAGCTGGAGCCGATCTCACGACCCAGTACAACATTTGCATTTTGCATACGACATTCAGGCGCTTTCAAGCGGTAGCTGACACGAGAGCTGAAGCAAGGATCTCAGCTGCACGTGACTTCGGTTGTGATGCGAACACGGCGGCAGGGAGACAGCAACAAGCTGCGGTCGTCGCAGCATGGGAGCTGGCGAAAAAGGTTTCTGCCAAAGAGGTCGAACTGCGTGCCGAGGCTAGGACAGCCCAGGGTGCTACAGGTCCAGGAGCGCCAAGCAATGATAGCGGCAGTGACGGCGGTTCATGGCCGTTTGAACGAGAGTGAAACACCTTCGGCTGAGTACCTAGCCTTGAAGGCTGAAGAATGTGAGATCAACGAACCCACTTCCTCACCCCTTGATTGCATCAGTGCGAAGCGCGATAACCTCGAAGCCAGCTGCAGAGCACCGTCGATGCACAGGGGCACATCCGCATCACCAAGGTTAAGCATAAGCTTGAGGTGCCAGTGAACAGCGAGCATTACAGGCGCATCATGAAAGTCGAGATGTATGCATGGCTGGCCATGGCTGCAAGGTTCAAGGTTAAAGCTTGGCTGCAGGGTTTGACTGTAACCCCCTTCTTGAAGTTTACCGATTACATATTGGGCGAGAAGGTTTCACAGCTTAAGATCCCGACTTCCCAGGGCAGTGAGCAAAGCGCAGGTTTTCGTCGGCCGTGGACGACCGTCTTAGCATATGAATACCGGTTGAGGAAGGAAGCCTTCAGGTTGGTAAACGAGGAGGGGGAAACCTCAGCAGATGCCTTGTCCAAGGTGTGCAAGGACACAGGGAAGGATCCCAAGGGAGGCAAGAGTGACCATGCCACTTCGTCAAAGGGGGATGGTAAGCCCACTAAGGGCAAGACTTCCGAGAGCCAAGGTTACGGTGGCAAAACCCCTGGGGTCTTCGCAGGCTTCACTTTGCTCAGCCACACCCCGGACGGACGCCAGATTTGCTATGCCTTCAACTCTGCCAAGGGGTGCAAAGGCAAATGCGGCAGGGTACACATCTGCCGAGTGAAGGGGTGCGGGAAGCAGCATGGGGTGCATCAGCACCCAGGTGTCAACAAGGATTCCACAGGTGGCACTGATCAGAAGCAGAATGAGTGACTATCAGGTGTGCTGCATGTTTTTCCAGGTCCTGATGACCGGATATGCCTGAGAGAGTCCTTAGCTAACATCGTTCCTGGATTGCAGCTTGTGGAGTTTGACATCAGCTGTGGTCGGAGTTTAGAAGCTGACGAGACTCCTCAGGATACATGGGACAAAATTCGTGAACTACTTTGCAAAGGTAGGGTGGCTGCTCTATTGCACCTTGCCCGCCAGGACTTTCAGTCGAGCCCGGCACACACGTCCGGGTCCACCACCGCTCCAGAGCCGCGAACATCCTTATGGTTTCCCGTGGCTTCGGCAATCGTTTTCACAGCAAGTTCAACTTGACAACGACTTCATTTTTCAGGCCGTCGAAAGTGCGATTGCATGTTCTGATCATAACAGCTGCTTCATTTTGGACCATCCCGAGCAACTCGGAGTTGCATCTGACGATGCGATCCCTGCCACGCCCTGGGACTTTCAGGAGGTCCAAGACCTTATCCCGCGTTGTTCAGCCGTCACGTTTGCACTTTACCAATGTCACTTCGGTTCTTCCACGTCGAAGCCGACCCGCTTCCTCGGCAACTTGCCCCAGTGGCGCGCTTCTGTGCCCCATTGCGCAGGTTTAGCTTCTTTGGACAGTCAAGGGCGGTACAAAGGCCCGCTGCCTCCCCGCTGCGGGCACAAACATGCATCACTGCTCCGATCTCAGTCTGATGGTTGGCATGCAGGTGCACCGCCCAGGTTTCCCGCGGAACTTTGCGATTTCATAGCCTCAGCCATTGCAGCAGTCGCCCCTTCGGGGAAGGGTGGGAGTCACACTCCTGCTTGCATGGATAAGAGCCTGGTACACCCGGTCGTCAGTGTTCCCTTCATCTTCGAGGCTCGTGATCGCTACCACTGCACGGAAGCTTGGGAAGGACATCGCTTGGTCATGGTAGCCTTCACGGTGCCAGAGTGTGAGAAGCTTGACAAGGACGACGCGGCTTTCGTTGTTGACTTAGGCTTCCACATCAACGGCAAAGCAGCCGATGTGGACCCTGCCATTCCTTTCCGTCCCGAGCTGTGGCAACAACGGAATTCCGGTCAATGTCAGCTGGGCGGGAAGCGAAGGTCCACTCACAGATGGTTTTGGTCTGTGTTCGCCCTCTAGGTGGACTCCGAGCGCGCGTGGAGCACGGCTTGGCGAAACGGCGCGGCGCTTCGCTCCAGCCATGCACACCTTGGTGAAATCATTTGTACTTCGGGTCATCCCTGATGCTGAACGATCAGCCATGGAGCTTGTCTTGGGACGATACACTTCGTCCCCCTTCTCGGAGAAGGACATGTCACAGCTTCGCCAGCAATGGGTTAGCCTTTTGGGTGATAGTCAGGGTTTTGACTTGCTTGAGGTTCCGGAGAGACAGCCTTTCTTCTTGCCAGCCTTGGCGCGCACCGCCGAGCTGCTTGAGGATCCGGACTGGGAAATCGTCACGCAAGGCAACGACAACTTTTGCACGGGGGTTCCCTTAGGTTGCGAAGAGGTCTTGCCACAGGTTCCGCAAGTCTTTGACTTTAAGTATAAGTCTAGGACCCTTGACGAATCCGAATACGATTGGGACAGATCGAACTATCAGAGCGCCCGAGATTTTGAAGCACCTCTACACGAGAAGTTCAGGGAGGAGGAGCGACTCGGGAGAATGTTTCCGACAACCCTTGGTGCGCTTAAAGAACAGTTCGGCTCTGAACGTATTCGTATCGCCAGCCTTGGAGCGATCGGCAAGCCGGATGGAGGGGCAAGACCCATCCATGACGCCACGCACGGCGTCCAGGTAAACAATGCCATCAAAATAGAAAGCCAGCAGGCCGTGCCAGGACCGGCTGACCTTTCATACGTTGTCGAGGAGCCCATCAGGCGGGGAGAGGTTCCCTTCTGTGTGTCTGCAGACGTCACGGCGGCTCACCGCCTGAGCAAGGTTCGTGAGCAAGACTGGCCTTATCTTGCGTGCCGTGCCGATGACTCCTCACCCACCATATGGGTGAACACAGTGGGCACCTTCGGGGTGTCCTCGGCGTCGTTTTGGTGGTCTAGACTGTTCGGGATAATAGGTCGGGTGGTTACGAGGTGTCTGCTGCAAATCCTCTTCTTTCACTTGGTCTTCGTAGATGACCTGCGCGCAAACTTCTCAGGCCGAAACCGCTACGTTCACACCTTGATGTGGCTAGCTTTGTTTGAGATGATTGGCACTCCTTTCTCATACAAGAAATTCAAGGGAGGATTCCGGGTTCAGTTCATTGGCTATGAGCTGGACTATAAATCCAGGACGATGGGCATTTCGGCCTCCAGAGAGAAATACGTGATTGAGTGGATTCAGAACGCACGCCGCCAGAAGTTTGTAGTCTTGACACGTGATTTTGCGGAATTTCTAGGACGCCTCGGATTTGTAGCTAGGACCTTGCATTGGCTTAAACCCCACTTGGGTCCATTGTATGCGTGGTCAGCTGCGACAGCCAAGGGAACGGCCGCCACGCTCCCGCTGACTGTCATCTTGACCTTAGAATACATTTCCAAAATCCTTCAGCGAGAAAATTTTCATATCAGTGTCAGGCGCGTGCAGCTGCAAAGCGAACCTTCGTTCCACACAGATGCGAAGTGTGCCGATGGATTTGTGGTTATAGGTGGGTGGGATAGTTTGGGTAAGTCACCTAAGGAGGCCCGATGGTTTTCGTTAAAGATTTACCCCACTGATGCCCCGTACTTGTTTGATGCAAAGCAGAAGTCCCAGTGGGCCTCTGCCTCAGCTGAGTTACTGGGCACCCTTGCAGCCCTCCACTGCTTCGGTCACCTGAAACCCTTGAGTGCCCCGAGGAGGCTCTTCGTCAACGTCGTCGCGGCGACGGACAATCGAGGAAACGAGGCCTTGAGAAAGAAACTTTCCACTACGAAGTGGCCGCTAATGCTTGTCAACATGCAGCTTTCAGATTTGATCATGCAGGCAGGTCTTACCCTGTCCCTTCGGTGGAAGCCCAGAGATGAGAACGCACTTGCCGACTCACTGACGAATGAAGTCTTCAGTTCCTTTTCAGAGAATCTCAGAGTCCCTCTCAGTTTCAGCGACCTTCCTTTAAGGATGCTGTCAGATCTTTGGGAGACTAAGTGTCAGTTTGAGGCTGCACGTGCCAAGGCTCGTGCTGAGCCCGTCTCGCTTCGCAAGCGGAGGCGAAAGGAGAAGACTCCGTGGTGATCGCTTTCAGTTGGGGCCATGAGGACTCTCACCACAGA